CTGTCATGCCCTTGGGAATATTTTCCAAAATCTTGTCCAGGAGTATTTAAAGTAATCACAGAAGAGGCTCCACCCTGGAACTGTGCAGAGTCTGGTGTGTGCTGGGACTGAGGGGTTTATAGGAAACATCCTGGAATCTCCACCCAGCGAGTGTGTTCCAGTTTGGAAAAGTGAAATCCCTGTAGTTTCATAGTGAAACCTTGGTAACCTGTGGAATTGTTTTCTGTGGGTGTTTGTTGGCCTGATAGCTCAGCTAATTACATCCCACAGAACTAAATTTCTCTGTGAGCTTCTGTTTTATTTGCTTGCTCATCCTGGCTGGGACTGGTGTGGTGCCAAAATTCTTGAAGTGTGGTTTTGAAGGTGATTTTTAATCAAGCATTTCTTCCCCTTCTTTAGCTGAACGAGAGGTGCTTCTGCTCATGGAGGAGCCAAGGGAAGGGAGCTCTTCCAGGGTTCATTTTGCCATGCTGGAGTAGTTTTTAACTCATAAAGCAACAGCAAATTCATGCATTTGAAACTCAAGGCCTCCTCCAACACCATGTGGAATGAACTCTGCAAGGTGTTAAGTCCATTTAATTCCTGCTGCAGCCCTGGTAAATTCCATGAAACATAAAAGCTGGGCACAGCAGCACAATCTCAACTTTGCAACTGCAGAGCTAACAGCCACAATAATTGACTGCTGCCCACAGAGACTGTTCCTGGAATAACTGTTAACACTTAGACATTCAAAATGGCCTCAATCCAGCTTTCCTGATTTTTCTCTAAAGACTTCTGCCCGCAGTTCATTATCCCTGGAAAGTTGCTGGTGCGTGCTGAGGAAGGATGACTTTTTCTGAAAGCACAGCCTGGCATTTTTGGTATTGTCACAGGGAGCTGCTGTAAGAAGGTTGGAGGATCAGCACTCATCTGCAGCTTAGGGGTTTTTCTAAGGAACCTTCTCTAAGGCAAACCTTATCTTTGCTGAGATCATCCCTTCTTTAGGAGCTGAATAATCTCCTTGTGCTTCCCTCAGATCGGTGGCGCTGGGATGTGTCATGCACTCGAAGCTGGAGTAATTCTGTGTGATACAAGCCTGGCTTCAAAAGACAAATATGATGCTCATGATGAGGTGTCTGAGGTCTGCAGTCAGCCCAGCCACTGCTGAGGGCAGGCAGGAGGAGTGAGGAAATGCCTTGGCTGCTTTGGTGGCAGGAGAGGAGTTGTGACACGTCTGGAGCACCCTGGCATGGTGACAGTGCACATCCCCCTGTGGGCTCTGGCTCTGCAGTGTGAAAAGGGCATCGTGCTCTGAGCTGGCCCTGCACTGAACCAACCCTGTCCTTGGCACCACAGGGATGCTCCCCAGCCCCAGGGCATGAGTGTGTCTCTTTGTGAGGCTCCCTTTTTGGGGTTTGTTTGGGATTGATGCTGTCCACTGTACCTTCTCATGGCTTGCAGTGGGATTTCTGCATGTCTGCACAGCTGCTTGCTGGCTCCTGAAAATATTTGTGCACAGATTTTTGTGCTTAGGGCTGGGGACAAAATATTCTTCTCAGAGCTGTTTCTTTTGCTCGTGACAAGATCTCACATCCCCTTCTCATTCCTTCTGTTATGCTGAGCACATCTTCTGCTGTCACGCTGTGTCTGTCAGTCACATTTCTGTGGCTGGCACAGTTGTACACCTTGACTTCTCATTACAGGCTTAGCACAGACAGATGTGGCAGAGAGACCCACAGAGAACCCACTCCTGCCTCCATGGTAGCTCTGTTCCCTGTAAGATTTCTTCTTTATGATCTCCTGGCCACATGGTGCAGTTAAAAGCTGGAAAGTTCACAGGTCTTCAGCCCCTGCTTGCTCAATCCTGCTACCACCATGGGAAGGTTTGGCTAAAACCCCACTGTGGGAAGTGAAATGCTCTGTGGAAAGCGTGTCCCTGGCTGGCAAATGCATGTGCCAGTGAGGAATGTGAGCTGTGATTTTGCTGCTATTTGAGAGTCATAAGCTGACTTAGGGAAGACATTAGTTGAAGTGTTTTTTAAATGAAGTTAAAGCACATCCTCAGGTCAGGGAGGAAGGACAGAAAAGCTCCTCTTCCCTGGAGCTGTGCTGCTGTGGCTGCAGAAATGATGCTGAGAAGAGCTGCTGCTCAGAACTGCTATTCCAGAGTGGCACTCCAAGGAAATTTCTCTCCAGTTTTAGAACAGAGCAGGATTTTATTTGCTGGGGTTTGGGTTAAATGAGAAAAAGGGAGAAAGGGCAGATTCCATTTCCCACTTGTGAGCGTGAGCACACCTTGAGAGGGCAATGTGTGGATCTGCACCCCTGTGTGAGATCACATCTGTGGAACAAACCCCACAAGAGTTTTGCCTTCACGCCACTGTTGCTGTACAGGTGGTGTAAATACACAACCAGCTGTGCTGTGCAGTGAGGAATTCAAAAGGGCTCAGCTGCAACTAAGAGTAATGGTACTGTACCACAGAGATCAAGAATCTCTTCAGCTTACTTTAAAATACACAACTTGTTAATAGAAAATACGCTCCAGCACCTCACAGGTCTGCAGAACACAGTGCAAGTGTGTTCTTTCTTTCACTGTGGAAATAATACAGATGAAGGTCAAAGGCAGATGAAAGTCAAGCCTTGCCACACTTCAGTGGCTGATAGTCTACTTCTGTTTTTTGGGTGGGGAAGCAGAGGTGCAGGTGAGGTCAGGAGCTGGCACAGGGGTGACAGCACCATTCAAATCTCTTAGTGCTGTTTTTAAAGGGAGAAATCCCTTTTCTCAGAGGATAATGCAGAGTTCTGCTGAGCACACTTAGGAGGGCTCTGCTGCCCAGGGATTATGGGCTTGGGAGGGCTCAGGTTCTTAGGATGGTTAATTCCCTGTGAGCATTCCCGACTCCTTGCTGCCCTTCTCTCAGTCGGGAAACTGGAGAGGAGCCTGGGCCTGCTCTGCACCAGGTGTTACTTGGCTGGAGCAGATGAATAAACCACAACTTATCACTTATTAATCAGAAAGATCTGAAGTATTCAAAGCTGCTGGAAAATTATATCCCCAGAGGGAATTTTGTATAATGTGTGGTGCTCTGGGGGGTATGTTCCAGTTTCTATTGAGTCAGAGTCACAAAATGCAGGGGATTAAGGAGCTCCAGCTATGGGCAGGGCTGTGTGGTTGGTTTATTGAGGGGTGTTGCTGTCAGAAAATAGAGATTTTTACTGTTTGTTCAAGCCAACAGAACCTGCTGGTGGGATTATTGTTAGTCTGGAGTACACCAGTTGACAAAATGCCCAACTGAGTGCTCATCGTGAACCTTGTCAGCTCTCTTCTCTCTTCTGTGTTTGTATTCCATCTTTAGAAGGGGAAAACAGAATGTCTGCTTCCTGTTCATCAAGGATTTGGGGCATTTTTATAGAACTGACGGGGAAGAGCTGCAGTAGGTGATGTAAACACCACGAGTGGGCATCACAGTGGCAAACTGGGTACAAATGTGGGGTTAAAATCAGATGGAATCCTGCATCTTTTCTGTGGCTGCTTGTGGCATCACACCCTGATCAGTAAGAGGGACAGAAATACACAGAGTGCTGCTATAAGCCTGCTAAAATCTGTTTATTGTGTGTCTGTTGTGGTCTCACCATGGGTTCTGGTGCCTCCATCCGAAGAGCAGTTTAGTCAGGAGAAGGAGTTCCAGTATGAATTTTATCCTGGGCATGTTACGTGCCTGGGCCACGTGAACATCAGAGGGATGTTTGGAAATCTGTATTTTGCCAACTGGATGTCAAATCCTGTCCTAGAGATCCCTGGATGGGAAACCAGACTTGGCTCTAGGATAGGCTTTTCAAAGATGTCTGAGCCTTGGAGTTTGCAGTCAGGGAAATGCAGACAATCTGGTTTTGGTAAAGAAGGAATTTATTTTTTTTTAAAAAAAAGTTTTTCAAAATAGTTAAATCTGTACATGAAGAACTCAATTTTGTAATATCAGACAAAGAAAACACCAGAAGAGACTCTAAAATCCTACAGGTACCCATGTCATGCCTTCAGTTCCTATTAAAATTTTATCTAATGGCAAGACAAAAGCTTCTTCCTCCAGCAGTGAGTGACTTTTTTTCAGTGCAGCCTGAGTCATTTCAGACCAGACAGCTACATTCCCTTAGGGATACTGGTTTACAGTCTCATTCTAGTAATAACTCAGCATCCATCAGATTTGCAGGCCCAAAAGAAGCTCCTACAAATCCTTTAAGGTGCTTTTAAAACCTTAGATAGATAGGATCCTGTAAATTACAGACAAAGCCTAAAACTAATTTTGGGTGGGATAGGGAAGGGTTTTTTGTCAATTACTAAAATGACCCTGTAACTCTTCTCTGCCATGTCTAAATTTGGATTTAATGTATTTTTGGTTGGTACCAGCCATGTAAATCAAGGAGTGGTATTTGGTGCAGTGTTTAATCTCAGCTGCCACTAGGTCTGTTCCCTAATAAACCACTGATGCTCTAATAGTGCATATTTGTTATGCCTGCTAGATTTATCAAGGCTGCTTTTAGTGGAGACTATTCAGGACAAGATTCTGATTATTTTTCAGGCATGATGCAGAAGGCACTTTGTGGACGAATGTTGGTGTGCTCTTGGCAGGGAATGGCACACTGAAGTAGCACCTAGGTCTGTAAAGAGAAAGGGGAAACTGGCAAATTTATAAAATAATCGGGGTGGTCAAATGAATTTGGTGTTCTGAAGTTCTTGGAAAGCTGAGCTGCATCTTCAGGTAGCTGAATACCTTTATAACTCAACCTCTTTTAACCCCTGGTTCACGTGATTGTCTGTCTCTGCTGATGGCTGACTCGCTTGCTTTGTGGAAATAGCAGCAATATTTTAAATAACCGTAAGTATAAGATTAAAACAAGGCAGAATGCTTTAAGAACGAGCTGTCGTGGGAGTGCTGATGGAAACAATTATTAATGGTTTGCATGACCCGTGGGGTGAGAGCACAGAGCTGGTGGTTACTGTAGAATCTCATTTCTTCCTCAAGGGGAGAGTTACGTCTGCTCGTCCGACAACTTCTTCAAGAAGGTGGAATACACCAAGAACGTCAACCCCAACTGGTCTGTCAACGTGAAGACCTCTGCCAACCAGAAAGCACCTCAGTCCCTGGCCAGCAGCAACAGCGCCCAGGCCAAGGAGAACAAGGATTTCGTGCGCCCCAAGCTGGTGACCATCATCCGCAGCGGCGTGAAGCCCCGCAAGGCCGTGCGCGTGCTCCTCAACAAGAAGACTGCCCACTCCTTCGAGCAAGTCCTCACTGACATCACTGAAGCTATCAAACTGGAGACAGGGGTGGTCAAAAAGCTGTACACCTTGGATGGGAAGCAGGTAGGAGGTTTCGCAGATGTTACGTCTTTTTCTTCCTCCCGTCGTGCGGCTTTGCTGACTCAGAGCAATTCTTGAAGCTTAAAATTAAGCTGAGATGATTGCTGCCATCTGTTCCTTTGGAAGTATGGCTTCTCATGCCAGTGGTTAGGTTACTAAATTTTCCCTGATATTAATACCAAGTAAAGAATGTAGCCGTGGGTCTGGGTGGAACAGATGCTGGCCCTGCACGCCGGCGTGCGGTGCGTGTCTTCTGGGCCAGCTCAATAAATAACAGGGGGAGTTGGGCTCACAGCCACCAGCTGGTCTGGCTCTGGACTAACTGGAAGACCTCTCCAGTTTGGCTCCACTCGGTGAAAGCGTGTTGCTTGACTTTCCTTGCCCTCTGGTGAAGGCTTGCTGAGATAAAGTGATTGATCCAAGCACGCTCTTCTGGCCAGCCCCAGAGCGAGCAGGGAAAGTGTGGAACCGTGCAGCATTTCCTTGACTAAATGCACCAGGAGGTAACGTGCAGAAAGAGTCAGAAATATTTAGCAGGTCATCAAAATGTGCTTCATGTCTACGTGTTGCTGGAACTGAAGGAAACATCTGTCTCTTGTTAGCAGCAACCAGCCATTTCATATTGCTGTATCTATGAAAAGCCTGAAAGGAATGTGGGGGATCATTTTTAGAGCTGGGAAGAGCTAGATTCTTCAAGGACAATTCCGAGCTTGATTTAACAGTTCTGTTTATTGTAATTGAGGAATGATCTTATTTTTGTCACTATTTTTCCTGCTCCACATTCTGGAGTGAGGCAGCACAGCTCTTGTGTGGGTTTGGACGCTGGCTATTCTAGGGATTGATGGTTTTGCTTTAAATTCACTGACTCTAGAGAAAATTATTCAAGTACTGGCTCTGTCTCCAAGAAAATGCAGATTTTACAAATAAAGATGTTCATCCCCAATGCAGGTTTCTGCAGTCCAGGAATGTAGTGTAGTGTATGGGAGCTGAGAGCAGCATGTCGCTCTGACCTGACAGTCTGGTGTCCCTGCCTGTGGTAGGAGGCTGGAACCAAATGAACTTTAAGGTCTCTTCCAACTCAAACCATCCTGTGATTCTTGCTTTGTCCCATCCTGTGTCCTGCACATTAGTTACTGTCTGGTTCCAGCTTCAGAGACACAAAAAATCCCATCTGTCTGCCAAAGCTTTCCTTCCCACTTGTCTCAACAGTGCTTTTCCTTCCTCAGACGCACATTTTGACCATGAGAGGGTGACTGTCCCTAGACACCTGTCCCTGTGTCCATGGACACAGTAACCTGCTGGAAATGAGCAGTGGCACCAGGAGTGGTGCACTGGAAACCTTGGGAGACACCAGGGAAAGAGGAAGGAGATTGTCAGATGACAACCTGTGCTCCCTGAGGTGGTCACACCTGGGCACAGGGCCACGCCCGTTGGGTCACAGCAGCTTTGCAGAGGGTTTCACAATTGGATCTGACCTCAGAGCAGTTCCCTGCCAGTGCTGACACAATCCTGTTGTTCTCCCAGCTGGGAAGGAGGATCTTAATGTGAACCTGTGAGTGGCCTCAGCTCCTGGAGAGCTGCTGGAGGTTTGGAGGTGAGGTGTTGCTCTGAATGGTGCAGAAATAGGGATGCTTCCATCAGACTGCTCTCTTCTCCCCCTTTGAGCTGTTTACTGGTGATTCCCTTCCACCTCTGGCTGGAAAGAGAGACAGGATCAGCCTTGATGTGACATTTAACTTGTTTCTCAGGCTTTATAATTCACCATTTAATGAAATGAGATACTCAATTGCATGTTGGAGACGCCGCTGGGAGTTTCAGTGTGCAAATGTAGAATCTCAGACCCAGTAATGCAGTTATTGGAAACTGTGATTTGGCAGTAATGGGATGTTTGATATTTACTGTTTGATACTTGTTTGCAGCACAAATTGCTGTTGAGGCTTCCTGAAGAGCAAACCTGGTTCACCAAGGCCTTGTTTTTAGTGGAAGGTTTCCTTCAATGCTTGTTCTTTATTACAGATGTGTGTTCTTAGCATGGAAGTCAGAGCTAGAAGCTTATGCAGGCTGTTGGGGTTTCCATGACATACTGCTCCATAAAATCTGACCTCCTGACATGACATTAGGGGGTTTTGCATGTCTGATGCTGACATTAGAAAGAGATTACTGCATGCCTGATTCTGACAAACAGCACTTTATTTTCAGGAGGAAATATTCATGCAGAAATGCAAGCTGCTCAAAGCTGAAATACTGACAAGGATCCTGACAGTCTGTCTCTTTGAGTGCCATCAGAGGCACATTGCTCCCTCTGTTGTGAAATGATAAAATTTACAAAAGGAATGTACAAAGGGAAATCATCCTTCCTCAGTCCACGAGCTGGAACTTAATGAGGGGAGATGATTATTTTATTTATAGGCATTTCCATAGCGCTCATCAGTGGAGTAATCAAGATGTTTTAGAAGTACAGACAGCGGTGGCAGTGACAGGGTGGTGTGTGAATAATTACATTTCTGTGCACTGCAGACCTGCTGCAGTTGGAGTGCCAAAGCAGCTAATTGAGAGCTGGTGGGCTGTGTTTGAATAAATGCAGCACTCGAAACAACAGTGGGGTTAGGTTATCTTAATGAAATTGTGTCTTTTTATGTCTTGGGTTGGCTGGAGAAGTATGGCCCTTGAAGCTGCTAAATTAGCATCTTGTGTTTAAGTAGTTTATTTAACTTGCACATCTTTCTAATGTCTGTGCTCAAGCTCCTTCCCTCCCTGGAGAAAATCGTTACCTCTTGATGCACACCCCTGAGCTCAAAAAACACGTTTGACAAAAGGTTTTTCAAAGAGTTGACCAAAAATGAGTGGTGACAGGGGATCACAAGAGAGATTTAACTTTGGAACTTCCATGGCTGTACAGGAAATGGTGTGGGTCAAAGAATTCAGTGCATTAAACAAATGCAGTAATGGGCCAAATTCAGTGCTTGGTTCCACGGCTACAACTGTTGTAGTGTTGAGATGTGCAATACCTGCAATTAAAATACACACATTCAAGGATTTAATTTGGTCAGGCCTGTGGATCATGCTGGAAAACAGTTATTTTGGTAGATTCTTCCTCCTTTTTTAAACTCCTAGCTCTACCCAATGTCCCAAATAAGTCTGGATTCCTGGGAGCTCTGGCTGCTTTACAGACACACGATGACAGCTCCTGCCCCGCATCGTTAGCAAACCAAATTAGAAAGCAGAATTTGAGACCGTGGATGAAGTTGCATTCAGATATTTTGAATGCAGTAGGCTGAGCTAGACTTTGCAGGGGTTGTGTAGATTTACTGTCCTGCTCATGCCTGGGCTCCTTCCTCGCTGTGGTGCACCGTGGGTCGGTGTTCTCTGGGGAAGAGGAGGCTGCTCCATCACTGGCAGCTGCTGTCAGCACCTTGCTTTGCAGGTGGGGTCTGCCTGCATTCCTTCTGCTTTTGAGGGACCTGTGAAAGTTGATGAATCTTCTGTGCACGCTGAACTTCTCTTTTCCTGCCTTGTATTTTATTCCAAGGTTTGGCCAAGTGCCTGAAGAGATGCAGTGGCAAAAGTCAGTCCCTTTTTTGTTTTTGGTTGTTGGCTGAGTTTGGTGATACCCTGGCATAAACAGAAATTCATCAGACATGTTCAGTTGTACTTTAGCATTAAGATAATTTTTTTTGTTGTGTGGAGTTTCTTCTTTTTCTCCAGCTGTTTTATTGCCATGCCTTAATTAACTAAACACCCCATTGTGTGACCCAACAATTATCAGCACCAAAAATAAGCAGATTAGGTTCTGTTCAGAGCAGGGAGATCTTGTATGCTTCAGCTGCACATAAAAAGAGATATTCTGGTCAACAAGCAGGGGACAGATTGTGGTTTTAGCCATGATACCATGCAGTGATCTCCTCTGGCCTTTGAAATCTTCAAACACGGGGAGAAGTCGCCCATGCTCCGCTCACTGGCTGTTCCCTTGCCCAGACACTGTGCTGCTCCATCTGAGTGTTAGCTGTCTCATCAGATGAAATTACATCCATTTCCATATGTCAGGGCACTTGTGACTGCGCTCCCAAAAGAATTTCCAGTCTTAATAAGATGGTCCCCTCTAGCAGCCTGAGCTTTGATAAGGATATCAAGTGGCAGGTGATGAGGGGAGTTCATCCTGTGTTTGCAAAGCTGATGCCCTGGGGGCCAGCTCACCTCTCTTGGCCAGGCAAGAAGTTGCCATTTCATTTCAGATTTCCTGCACTAAGGAAGGGCAGCAGCCAGGGAGAAGCAGGATGACAAAGCTTACAGAAAGTTTAAGGTTTAAGGTTTGTGATCAAAGTCAATAAATTAGTTGATAAACCATCTCCTAAAACCAAACTTTGGAGTTGCTGCACTGATTTTAAGCTGGTATTTGGAAAAAAGAAAAAAAGTAGTAAAAAATTAATCACTCAAGGGTTGATAACAGCAGGGGACCAAACTCTTCCAGGGTAATGTAGATCTATTGATTATATTAATGAAATTGTATCAATGAGACATGGAACAAGGTTTGTACCAAAACATAAAAATGCCTCCAACAGCTGTAAACTGTGGCTGGTGCTCAGGAGGAAGGTGACACCTGTGTGACTGTACCCAGTGACATCTGCATTGCTGGAGGATCAGAGGGAACCTGTTCCCTCCAGAGCCCTGGCAGGAGTTAACTCACACCCTGAAGCACCAGGTTCAAAGTTACAGAGTGAGCAAACTGCTTTGTGCTACTGCACATGTTGAGGGGAAGGATGTCAGAACAACTCTTCCTTCTAAGTTGCTGTCTGCCCTTCAGGATACCAAAAAACTGCCCAGAACGAGCAGTTCCATGCACTCATGTAAAGCTGGAGTTGAGCCTCGAAGGAAGTCAGGGGGAAGAGCAGGAGAGGGGTGCAAGTGTGTTCTGCATCCCACCTTCTGCTAAAGCTCCTGCAGCAGCAAGGGGAGCATGAGTCCCACCTTCCCTCCCTGCTGCACAAAGCTGGAACAAGGAACCT